GTCTTAAAAAAGGAAAAGCAAATGTATTGCATTAGCATTTTCCCCTTAGGGCTAATTATATTTCTCAAAAAAAAAAAAAAAAAAACATTCCGATATGGATGAAAAGCATCACTCCTATTGGGAACTGGGCTTTTGGTTGAAAGGTTTTAGCTATTTTTTAAAAATTTTCAGCCGCCCTCTGATTGCAATTTGTATTGGTAGCCTACTGCTGATTCTGTTCACAGTTTTTACGATGATGGGCCTGTCCAAAGGCAAGCCATTATTTATGGTACCCCGCATCTTATTACTGGTAACTATTCCATTTAAATGCCTAGTACCTGTGGTAAATTACAAACGTGTCAGAACAAAAGAAGGTGCAACTGATGCGCTTGATGTATTACGTACGCATCCCGGTAACAGCAACACCGCGATTGTTCAGGCCGCCTTGGTAACCCTGAGGAGTTTCTGTTACTTTGGTTGACAATTGATCTTAGTCTATATTTTTCATCAGAAGAAAAAAAACCAGCCTAGATTGTGGTACTATGCGCATCGACGATTTTTATTTTCTCTCAAGTTTTTCAAAACCTATCGGATATGAGCGGGATGCAGGAGACTTTGATCATCACTGGTGCATCATTCCTACCATTGCTGCAAATTAGTGCCTTATATATTGAAATACGAGTGTGCAATGAAATGTTCCGACAATTCTGACATGATTCAATTTGCAAATCAACATGTATGCTTTAGTGCATCTATCATATATATATGCGCTGAGCAACTGCAGTTTTTTCTCACCTTTAAATTTTCTGTTTTTGACCGCTTTGGAAAATCAAAATTTTTAGCGGTGGAATTTCTCGCGTATCATATTTCACAGTCGAGCATAAACATTTGGAACAGTCAATGAAGCGCAGCTCTGTCGCTAGTTTTGCTTATTCTCTAACTCTGACATTCTCTCCCGAAAATATGATTGAGGCTATATATTGAAGGCTGATTGTGTAGCCATTTTTAAAAGTTTGGAGATTTGATATTAGCTTGGAATAACTTATTTTCATTTTTCGCTTTTAAATCTCCACGCTCGGACTTGATTTTTATCGCTCTGAATCTTGCTAATTTAGCACTGGGCCGCTGTGTTTGTTAAAAATCTAGTTCGAAACATTACGACTTACAAAGCGGTTTATAATGAGTTCTTTAGCAAGTCTGACATAAAACGTGCTCGGTTTTGGTAGCACCGAATAGCATCAGCAGCCGTACTGATTGTTCAGGTAGTCTTAGTATGCGTATCTTGGTATTCTCGATA